AACATCAGGATGTCGACGGGGAAATGTTGGGGTAGTGCAGTGGATTGCTGCTGGTTATTGGACCTTAAATCATCATTTTTTTTATTTTTTCAGGAATCTGAAAGTTATGCACATATTTGGCTCCAGAATGACTTTGTCGGGAGGAGAGCCGACAATAACAACGGGATCAACGGCTTACATGCAGGTACCTGTTATCAATCAACATCTTTTATTAACTATGACCTAACCTCTCTGGTTATTAATGTGCCCAACATGCAGGTGATGAAAGTTTGAAAACAAGTGAAGATGTTTTGATAGATCAAAGAGCACATGGAGTGCTTAAAAAAAAAAAAAAGAATTAGAAGGAGAGGTACCAGTCTTAATGGTGCTCAGATGTGGATGGCAATGATTTACCACACAATACTGATTTTTACAACCACACCAGTGTTGTACAGCGATAAAAATCCTTCCATTTTTCTTACTGTTTATAGGTGTCTGAAATCAAAGGGAGAACACGGAGGACTGATTTGCTCGGCACCGTCCAACTCTTGGTGAGAGCCAGCTGGAGGAGGTCGGTGTTAACTTTGGATTTTTTTCGTTGCCTTCGTGTGTTTGAAAAAGTGAGAGGAAGAAGGATACTGTTCTTTTTTTTTTGACCCTCTCTCACCACCCTCCTGCATAAGTCGGCCAGTGTCCAGAACGATCCCTTCTCAAGTCAGACATGGACCTCGAACGAATCAGAAGGGATTCATGCAGTGATCCAGACAGATTCTGTTCAATGCTAAATACAAAAGCTTCAAAAGAAAGATGCACACCGTCATTTCTGTGAGGCTGCAAATGTAAAAAAAAATTGTTTAATTCAAAGAAATTTCAGATTTTACTGTGGATTGTGGGTTCTATTTTTCTTAATGTTAGAATTTTGCAGTTTTCGTTTATTCTGAATAACATTTGTAGTTGTCCACCATTCTCTGAGAATAGTTTAATGAAATTTTGAAACATTCATCCACGCTTTACTCGTTCAGCAGTGAGATGTTTGAGGATTTTCTTTCTATAATAATGTTTTCGGGGTCAATCTAAAGATCATTGTTCTGTTGAAATAACCCCCCTCTGATTCAGGTTTAGCTTTCAGACAGATGATGACCTCCAGGTCTCTCTAAGCACTTTTTAATGTGATACAGAATTCACTGTTTAATTCCCAGCAATTTGTTGGCCCAGGCTCCAGACCTTGGAATTTAACCACTGCAGTGACTTTGGATGGGGTTAACATAGTCCACCAAAACCCCACTGAGAAAGATCTCGTTGTTAACCTTTACAGAACACTCATTTCCATCTTTTTCACTTTTTTGCTGTTGATTAATTACATTCTGTAGAAGACCAGTTCAGAACCATCCATACATCCAAAGTAAAGCTCAAAAAGGTCAATTTTACATTAAATACCTGGATGATTAACAGGTTTCAGTAACAATAGATGGCATGCAGAGAAGGTCATGCAATGATTTGAATCAGGTGTGCTGGATTTCATAGAGGCATCTAAAACATGTAGGAGAAGGGGGCCTGAGGACCAGTGATGGGAACCACTGCTGCTTAACAAACCTGAGATGCAGACTGTATCCAAGATTGTATTCCCTCAGTAATGATCCATATTTCATGACTATAGATGAGGACGAGTAAATTGAGAGCGTCACTTTTTAAATCGGAAGTTGTTTACAAGATGCTATTGCCTCGTTTTCATTACCAACACTGGTGTGTGCGATTCGATACACGTTTTTTGTCTGTTTCCACTGTAGAAGCGGTCCGTACAGTTGGCCCGGACCGCACCATTCCTGGACCCTCTTCGGTTGTAGATCCACAAGGGTGGATCGATTGGTGTCACATGACACGGCCTATTGTTTGAGGGAAAGAAACACATCACTGACTGCGACAAGCACTGACATGCTAGTGCTTCATGTATGTCATCAAAGTGGAATGACCAGTCCAACTTAATGGCGGACAGACTTTCCTAAATATGGCAAACCATAAAACACCGACCCGTACCCTGGCTCTCAGTGGAAACAGGAAATAAGATACTTTGACTTCTCTGGTTGAGTCAGTTACTGAGGTGCAACCCAGGAGGATCAAGGAAATCGTTTTTCAGATGAAAACTATGAGGTAGAGAAACAGGCTCTCATCCCAGACACTTCACATCCAGCTGTGAACGCCTCCAACACATGCTGCAGATCACGACTTGAAGATGCACATAGAACCGCATCATCTGCAAAAAAGCCAAACACGACAGTCTGACTCTTCCAGTCGAGACAACATCGTTCCAAAAGTGTGCCTGGAGATCCTGCCCACAAACACCAGAAGGAGGACTGGTGACGAGAACAGGCATAGGCAGATGTTGATGATACTGTTTTCTATTTTTTTTTAAAAGGAGAAAAAAACACAATTCAATTTTTATTGTTCTTTTGGGGCCATGTTTACATCAGGTTGAAATGAATTTTGTAGTCAACTCATAAAACTTTTAATAGCTCTTCTCCATCATACTTCACTGGCTTCGTAGTTTGCTGTGACCCCTTTATCACTGGATTAACTCTTCATCGTGGCCTCCATAATATACCCAAACTTTTCCTGACATACAGTTTTAAAACAGTTTGAAATCTGAATAAGTGGAAACCCACCTGCTGCCCAGTGACTGATGGAGATATGGACAAAATCATTCTTATATGTTCCAGAAGATCTAAGCAAGATCTTGCAAAGATCATCAAATTTTATTCACAGAGTGGGGTCTTTATCCACAGGAAAAGGTCATCTGGTCCTGAGTTTGACACCAATGTTTGGACGTTCCTGATGAATTTAATATTTTCTTCCTGTGAACACAGATTGGTATTTCATGCTGCTGCACTTAGTGACATTTTGTGCTACAAGTTACATGAGATTTGATGCAGAAGATGGTACCCATGCACCACAAAATATCAGTTCTCCTTTTGGATGCCCTGTAACATGTTTATTTTTCATCTCAGCTGTATTATCCCAACATGATGTTAATAATCGGTTTAGCAGAAACTCGCAGATGTCTGAGATGTAAAGTGATGTGCTCCATGGAGCATGTTTTCTTTTCAACTTTGAAAATCTGCAAATCAACGTGCTTTTGAGTGTTTTCCATAGCAAAAGTTTTCTTCCTTCTTGTCACAGGTGCCATCTTGTTAGTGGCGACTAGCTTCCTTGAAATTAATGTTGTACCCAGTTGCACAGTGGTCAAGATCACACATATCAAAGCAACTCAGCATTTTTTCAGAAAAGAAAATGGAAGAAATTCCTAAGAAAAAAAAACAAGCAAAAAAAACCCCCCCAAAATTGTGATGTGTTTCTACTCTGAGCAGATCACCTATATTTATTACAGAAGTCTTGGTTGCAGTGATTTTGGTAGGGAAGGTTCACCACTTTTAAAAAAGTTTTCTCCATTTGAGACTAACAGTGGCTAACTGGACTCCCACAGTTTTAGGAATTAATATTTTGACCTTTTCCAGACTGAGAGATACTTTGTTTTTCATCTGCTGTGGAATTTCTTTAGATCTTTGCATGATGTGTTTTTTTTTTTTTTTTGGATATCCATCAACCTATTTTATGCTGTTTGGTTGTGTTAAATTGATTCCTCGATTCTACAGCTGCAGACTAATCGACCATGTGTGTGTGTGTCAACAAAAACCTAACTGAAGACAATAATCAGCCTCTGTATTAAATCATAAATTGTCATTCTAGCATGATAGAAAGCTTAAGTCTCATCACATGCTCCTTGTCTCATTTCTTCTGCGCAGTCAGCCTCTATGACCAACTGTTGCTCATAAACAGCGTCCTCTGCAGAGTTAATTTGGATGTATTATTCAATCATATATCTGCTAGAAAAGATTAAGACAAGGACTATGAAATTAATCTGGTTTAAGCGTAGCATTTATATTTTGATAGCAGTAAGTAAAGCTATTTTTTATAGAAATACATGTACACGTCTACACAGAGACACTTAGATTTTGATGAGGAAACGACTTCAGCAATACAGGAAAACCACAACAGAGTGGAACTCCAGGAAGGTGAATTAATCACAAAGTGAGTAGAGCGGTATATATTGGTGTTTAATTACCAAGGGCGCCACATTTATGCTAACTGAAAAGTTGAGAACCATTGTTTTCCTACTGCTAATGCTACGTAGCAAAGGCCAGTAAGCAAACATTCCTCAACAGCTGAAAACAGCAGGGGAGGGATTTCCTGTAAATTAGTATACAATGTCTGCCTGTCGTGTGTCTTTTTATCTATCTTGCCTTGCAAATTGGTAATCAAAATGTTATAAATACATATCTGAAGAGTGTCACATGTAATGGTATTTAATCACTCACCTAAACACAAATCTGGCCTTTATGGAAGAGTGTAAGCTGAGGAGATTCACTTTCCACACACATCAGCCTAAACAAATTATCCCCATTTTGATAGACGGTGGTGGCAGCAGCATGCAGTGCGTGTGTTATGTTGCCAAAAGTATTTATTAACCAACCTTAATCCTTCAATTGAGGTTTAGTATGTTCCAGGAAGGTACCCAAGGATGCAGTGTGTGACATTTTCCTCACTATGAAATGTTCCACTGTCCACTGTAGGGGGTGTAATAAGAAAGCATTATGTGGAGTAACATTGAGATCTCACTCTAGTTTATGTGTTTGTCAGATTTGGTTATGTGTGCGTCATCACTAGCAGCAGTCTTAATTAGTCAGCCATCTCCATAACCCGTACACAGATGCACATCACTGAGTCCCCATGCAATGAGACTGACCTAGAATGTAGTTGGATACTTGAAGTTTTGCATGGTATCGCACATGCGCCTGTGACAAATCGACCGTATGCCAAATTCGGATCAAACTCATGACATCTGTGAGGAAAGTGGTCGCCCTATCTGTTCTTTAGAGCTTCCCAGTGCCGTCTGAAGGGACCGCGCGCTTTGCTTAGGGACTCTCTCCTCTCGCTCGCAGCTCTCCTCCTCCCTCAGGCCCCGCCCCTCCTCGAAAACCCTTGCAGTAAAACAGGCAGATAGACGCTCGTGAACTTAAAAACTTTTAGTACGGGGCGTTGTGAGGGGACAACTTTGCGAACAGTCGTTTTCCTTCAACAAAACTACCACTCCGACGGCAGAGACAAGAGAGAAAAAGGACTTTCATGTCCCCCCCCTCCCCATCAACCGGAGTGACTTCCACTAAGTCTTTCAGGGCATTTTGTGAGGACTCTTCGTGGTACGTCCGCTCTTCTTTTAAAGCTAAAGGTTTGACGTGTTTTTTGTTTTACTTTAACAAAAAAAACCTTTTCAGAAACACCTTGTTGTTCAAAACAACATCTCAACACCTCCCGTCTGTTGGTGGTGTATTAGAACCCGGTTTTAGCTTGTTGCGGAAACTTATATCCAGCTGAACATCTGTCTCGTGCGTCCGTTGACATGCAGCTCTTCATTCTCTCTCGCTGAAGCGCTTCTAGCTTATTACATTAAGACATGGCTTCTTACACCCACTTTATAACTTTTTCTTACTAATCTATGAAAACAATAACAAACCCAAACACTTATGAAGAGAATGTTTAGCCAATGTGATATTCCCTTCAGATATCTAGAGGAGGTAGTGGGGCTGTGAGTGTGCTGTCAGGCTGGCACTCCACGCGTTGTTGTGGGGCGAAACGTGACTGACAGAACATGGGTGCAACGTTTGGGATAAGGACTTCCAATCGGTCAATAAATATATTTGCAACTCCGTTAAAAAGAGGGAATTGTCTGGCAAATTTAAGCAGCAGATGCCTCTGATCTGTATTTAGATCTGTTATAATAGAAACAAAAAGTAATCTGTTCTTAAAGATACTGCCCTCTGCTGTATTTATTTCACTAAAAATATACACTACCAATTTAAAATCATGTTTGAGTTATAATTTATTAATTTCACTGCAAAATACAAGGCAAATCCGGGAAAAATCCTGCAGATGCTGCTTTGTTTGCATTTGGATTGATGACATCACAAGAGACACAAGAAACCAGCTGAGATTTAAAGATCAGGGAAGTTATGTATTAATGTATACATTAATACATTAATTACATTAATGTATACATTAATACATAACTTCCCTGATCTTTAAATACACGCACGCACGCACGCACGCACACACACACACACACACACACACACACACACACACACACACACACACACACACACACACACACACATATAATTCTAGTTTAGTTTGGCCTTAGCAAGTCTACTCTGTCTGGATCTTCATGTATTTATATCTTTTTACATTTATTTCATGTGTTTGTTGTTTTAAGAAAGGCTCTAGTTTTGTTCTTTTGTTCCATGGAACAAAAGCGACAGCAACAGCGTGTTTAGTGCATGCTGCTTCACGCCCGGTTCAGTGCATCAACCATAAACCTACCACTGGGGATGCTAACTGGCTACTTTAAACGCGAAATAGCCATAATTTCATTCCATTCAGTTCTCTATTCAGAGAGAAGTCCAACCTGTCTGGCTTTTTGCATCTCATCACAAGAGTTTTAAACCATTGGAAAAGTACGAAGGGAACTTTCACTGGTTTTGAAACCATGAATTTTGGATATCACGATAATTGTTTCATGCTTAGTCATTACTGTATGATAAAAATTTGCATCAGGTTCTAAATATAGGGGATGGTTTTTGTAAATATGAGCATCACTTCTAAAATGCTATTTAGAGTTATTTCCTTGGTGTTGTCAGTGGGCTGATAACTGGTATAAAATTACTGAATAAGAGCTGAATCATAGATCAGTTTGATTATACCATGGAATAACGGTACACATTTTTTTGTACCGATTTTTTTTTTGTAATTTAAATAACAGAAAAAAACTGTCCATATTTTTCAAAGCATCTTTTATTTGATATGTTCACAGCAGAACACAGGCACAGTCATTTGAAATCAAACGGTCACTCTTTATCTGCCAGCAGCAGGTTGAGTTGCAGACTCCTGGACAGCTTCTCCTCCTCATGGTTGTCAGGTTCTGGGCATACCTTCTCCAAAACCCCTAAGAGCAATAAATGCAGTCGTGTATTTTGTGGCTAAATTCTGTAGAAGATGGCTCTTTCCACATAGTGTGTTATCTTGCAGTCTCTGTGTTGCTTTGCATGCGAAGGAAGACCAGAGTAGATGTTGAAGATACCAGCCCTGCCTAACAATGCTTCTTGTTACTTATCACTGTTTGCCACAGTGTTGTGTTGCCTTATTACAGACGTAAAACATGCAAAAAAGAAAAAAGACTCACTTTATTGTCTGAATTGTTACTTTTTCTGCATGAGGTAGCACATTAAAGTTAGAAAAGAAGGAACCTGGGGTGTATTTCTTAGAATGTTTGTGCCATGTAGCAAATATTTGTTTTTTTCTCTTACTCTACGTTTACTTAACTAGCATTATTTAAGTAAATGAAGGTAACTGTAGCACTTGTGCTTGCAGGATTAAGATTATGTAAAGCAATGAAGCTCACCTCTACAAAATCAGTTGCTCATTGTGATTAGTATAAAAGTGGGGATTTGGGGCTTAGTCTTGTACACGCGGATATGTGGGATAAAAAGATGAAGAAGTCAGTTAGGATTCATGTTGTTTAGTTAAACCTCTCCACAGTTTATTAGTCATGTTGGTATATCGTTACATGTTGGACTGCTACAAAAAATAGGCGTTGTCAAAAAATATGTGGTGTGGTACAGAGTAAGGAATGACATTTGAGCAGCTGGTAGTGAAATAATACATTTACAGTGTTTTATGTCAGCCTTTGAAATGTGTTTTCCCAGCTTTAATAGGAGACTTTTTGTAGTTTGTCACTTCTTTCTCAACATCAATATTTGCTTTAAATATGGACAGTGGGAATAAGAAACAGTCTTGGAAAAATAAATAAAATAAAATAAATCACTGGAGCAATGGCATTTGGTCCAGACACCCCAGGGAAGGTGCACCACTCTTCCATTGTGTATAATGACTTTCACTGTGATTCGTTGGAGTGGTATAGCCTTAGAAATGTTGTTGCAACCCTTCACAGACTGATATATATACAGACTTTGTTTCCCTTCTGTTTTTGAATTTCTTTAGGTCCTGACCTGATGTGCCACTTTTTGAGGTCTTCCAGCCATTGGTTTTTATTCTGTAGGTTTAGCAGTAATGAGGCCTTGTTTTGGCAAGTTAAAATTTTACCTTAAAAAAATATTTGTTTGACAATAAAAACCATTTCAAAACATGTGCAGGTGACCAAGCAAAGCAAAAAAAAAAAAAAATCTGTAAGGTGGCACATACCTTTTTTTTAACCACAGAGGACTGTGAGACCCCACCTTGCTAAGATATCTGAAAAGTGATTGCAGTTTTATTCAGCAGAATAAAGCACACTGTAATGCACTCATGTCCTTTCCCCGCTCCACACTGCTGGTCAGCTGGCTGAAAGAAGGCCTCTTCACTATTCCATTCCTTACACCACCAGCTCAGCTGATTGGGAATTAGTACAACCTACCATTCTCATTTCTGTTAAGCATAAGCCTGTCGCAATTAGCAATAAATCAGTTAAACACACGATAAATCAAAACAAGTTTGATCATTTCCATTTACACAATTGTTTGTTTTTCTTGTGTCCCTCTCTCTTTTATCAAAAGCTGGATGATGAATGGTTTCAGCCTGGTGCATTGAATATCAGTTTTGCTTAGAGACTTCATTATCGATTTTATTTGTTGTTTTTCAGCGGATTTTGTTTATTTATTTTGGACATTTAAAATGTCTTAGAGATCCAGTGTTAAGTATTTGCTAGAAATAAAAGTTTATTAATCTTTGAGAGGCTGCACCTGCATTATAATGCTATTATTACCATTGTAATATAACAATATTATTGTTTATCTTATTGGTTATTGCAATAACTTTTGGGGCAATTTGTCACTGAGCAAAATTTGTTATTGTGACAGGCCTGGTTAAGCAGCCAGTTACAGGTTGGCTATCTGTGCTAGCTAGCCGTTTATCTTGCAGCTACTTAAAATCACAGTGTTATATTTTTAAAAGCAAAACTGCAAAAGGTAATATGCAACAAAGTGTGCATGATTGCTCAACAACTACAACAAAAGTCAGTTCAACTGTGCATCAGAATTAAAATAACAATAAGTGTTAACAATAAATGTATAAGTGTAATAACTGATATGGAAATAATTGCTGGTAACACTTTATTTGAAGGGGTGTGCATAAGACTGACATGACACTGTCATAAACATGACATAACACTTGTCATGAACATAAAGAAGTCTTTATGAATGTTTATGACTGTTGTCATGAAGTGTCATTGCATGATTTTGTAAATTATGATAATTTAATGCAAAGTTGACATTTTTAATGGACTTTCAATGCAACTTTTAGAGCAACTTTGCATTAAAAGTGTCATTATTTATCGAATGACACTTCATGACAACAGTCATAAACATTCATAAAGACTTCTTTATGTTCATGACAAGTGTTATGTCATGTTTATGAGTGTCATATCAGTCTTATGCACATCCCTTCAAATAAAGTGTTACCGAATTGTTTGTACTAATACTATCATACTGTGAGAATCCGCTAACTGCAGGCGGCCATAGAGCAAGCTTGTTTCAGATTAGTAGCTTAGTCGTCCAGATGCAACATGTAATACAGACAGTCTGCTAAGATATCCCTCTGTGATTACTATAACAACATCTCTACTCTGTTCCTAGCAACACAACATGCACAGGAGGCAGTCGTGATGATAGATGGAAGCCAGGACTTTAACACTGAAGCCACCACAAGTATGTCGCTTGGTTTCAGCAGTGTTCAGGAGAATCTGGTAGTTCCTTCAAAGCTCTCCGTATTCTGATGTGATTGCCAGATTTTCTTTATGTTGCCACAAGAAAATCAAAAGCTTTAGGTGGAAAACCGCTAGAGTTATCTCACACCAGGTTGAAAACGTCTCCGTAAATCTTTTCATATACCTGGGTAAAGCACGGCTAATCTGCAGCGCAGCAGAAGAGAAGAACACGACAGCAATTTGACTTTGATTGTGGTCTCTGCTTCCCAAAAAGTGTTGCAACACGGCCCCACCGTGTTTAGTTAGTAAGGAGGTGAATGTCAAGGAGGAGCATAAATCAAACAGAGGGGCACTAATCCTCCCTGATGAGCTAACGATGTAATATTTGTCAAGATCTTCCAAAAAAGACTTCCTAGCCCATGCAGCTGCCTCACACTGAAAGGCCCTTTTGTCTTGTGAACGCTGCTTGCAGTGCAGAGTGATGCACCTAAGCGCTTTGTGCATCACTTCCCATGCACACTTTTCGGGTTCACTGCAGTGCACATGTGTGTGCACATGTGCCTGCTCTTCGTGGCTTCCATTCTGGTCCAAGGCAGTGCTTTTAAGCTGTGAACAAGTGGGCTTCCTGTTACAGAACCTTGCACACATGGATTTTACATTGACTTGGGTACAGTTACAGTCTGGTTATCATGAAGAAAACAGGTAGCACTTAAGGTAGCGGTGTGCTTGTCTTTTATCTGGACCATATGTTTCATGAGAAATGTGCACAGTATATAGAGTGTGTAGGAGTTGTAATTGGTTTGAGCTTTCTGTAGGATTTCCTAATTTATTTTGTGTTTTGAAGTTTTAGGATACACAAAGTATTGCAATAAATTTCAGTTTTTGTCATTGAACCGTAAACGCTTCATGTGTTTGATTCTTGTATTTGTACAGAGAAAAATAAGATTTTGTGATTTTTGTACAAAATGCTGAACTTTAATTTTTCCTGCTTACAAGTTCACAGTGATGTGTGTGATTGTATCGAGCTGCTTACTCCAAGACCCCACTGGCAAGTCACAGTATGTCCTGATGCCGTTAATGAAAGTGTGTTTATAATCCGTGGCATATTGCAGAGCGTTTAACACCCTCCAATTAAGTCACTCCTGCACTTTTTACACACTCTGACCTTTCACAGAGTTGTTTGCAGCATGGCCCTTTGAAGCGCGTGTTACCCCCAATTAACCCCCCAAATTAATCCCCTGGTCTGAAAACTGGCTGCTCCTCTTGTCTCATCTGATCACTCCCACGGCGCAGACAAAGCACTGCCCCGCTGTTTGTTCATGCTCAGGTTTGACTTTCTTCCCCAGCTGACATCTTTTATTTCTGTTCCCTATGCAGCTGGAGCTGGAAGGTGGCTTCCTGTAGGCCCATTTACGGGGAAGAAAATCTTTGCGAAAAACAGAGAGAGTTGCAACTCAACCCACTGACATCACATCAGAGGCTGCAAGAAAAAACAAAATGGGTCAAAGATCCCGCATTCCTTTGATGCTTCTTGCATTATGCTGCCTGACGTCAGCAGGTGAGTTTACTCAAGAGATCATAGTAAACACGTGAACCTGGGTGTTGCGTATGCCCTGTACGACATGCATCAGTTTACAGGATTTCTATTTCAATATTCTGACTTTCTAGACTCTAATTTCTATAGTTTTTTTCTATGCAATTTGTACATTCAAGTGGAAAACATTACTCTTGAACCTCCCTGAATGGTTGCTTGGTCTTATTTTTCATAAGTACCACAAATAATATAATAATGAAATCAGTTAATGTGTAGCAAAGGGCTATTTCACTATTTTTGTGGCACCTGGACTAACTGAGATGAAATCTGACCTGTCAAATAAGCAATGGAAGATGTTGGATGAAACGGAGGCTAAATGGCACCTTCTATCATGCTTCCTTTCACCCTTTGGCTTGTAGCTTTCCATTATGCTTCCAAATATGTTGGCAAGCATCTTTGCTATTTTAGATCCATTAGATAAGTTATCCAGAGACCAAACACATAAAGAAATGACCCTTTTGGATTTCAGAATGAGTGTACCTTCACTTCAAAGTCAAAACACAGAAGATGTGATGTGACAAATCAAATATATGTTATGTCTCTTTAATATAAATGAGTGTAAAACAAAATGAATTTAATAAGCATTGTTAGACTTTTGTTTTGGAAATGGAAAAATGATTTTTTTTGTTTTCTTATCCAGACCAGGTAAACAAACAAACAAACAAACAAAAAAAACATACTTTTTCAGACTTTTTAGATTGCAAAGGTTCCCTGTATTTACATCCAGACAGAAAATGTATTGAACTACAACCACTGATACTAACTGAAATATGAAGTCATTCTGCTTAAAAGTGTAAGTTTGGAATACATAGATCATCAGGAAAAACACTGTGATGAAAAATGCAAGCTTACTTTATGAAAATAAACTGAGAATTAATTAAGAAGGACTCAGAAAAAGTCTCCATTATAACAGTCATGAAACTGTCATAAATCAACAGCGTCTTCAGATTAGTTGCAAGACTGACTGCCACACTTCCTGGCCATGGCGTCATTATCTAGAATGAATCTGAAGATACTTAATGATATGAGTTACGGCAACATTTAATTTCTATTTAGGATAAATGGAGCATTCAAATTGAATTAATGTATTATGTACTTATTTAGCTATTTGATAATGTTCCATTTACTTATTTGATTATGAGCACGTTGGAGTTCCATATTGCTCTGCCACGGTGCCTGTCAATTGCAATTTAGGCTATGCTGTGGGATTTTCCACTTTTATCTCCCAGCAAGCTTTTCTTGACAGTGCATGTCAGAGTCGTGAGTAAGGAGGATTAATACTCAGGAAAGTGCTGACAAACTGAATCTCAGAATGAAAAGACCCAGCAGGCCTCAGCAGGTGTACTTGTCAGATTGTACGGAATGACGCCAGAATGCTACCAATTATGCAGAAGCAGAACAGCAACCACAGCAAAAAGAGAAAATTAGGAACTTTGGCATGCTATGTCAAATTAGCTCTGGATGACATCATCAAATGCCCCAACCAACGGTACTAATCCTAACTAATTTATCAAACTGTCGTTCATTGTTTTGCTAAATGTGCATGTCTGTATTCTCTCCAGCATTTTCTGAAATAGAAGGAATCCTAACAGTTGTTGAGAATATCAGTCTACTGTCTGACAGCACTTAGAAGTCCTTTTTACCTTTTTATTCAAACCAGGTCTGCTTCAGTGAAGCATATCTTTGTTTTGCTGTAAATTACAGAAGTAGAATAAAGTAGTCAAAGTTTCCGTATCTCTAAAAACTTTAACCTAAAAGCAAAAACATGTTAAAAAATAAAAAGTTGAACATGAATATAAAAACTACAATTAAATTATGCTTTTTTAGCTAACTTATTGAATTTAGGTCTTATTTTGTTGCGACTTCCTTCAACTAGCTGACTAAAAATAAGCAGCAACAGGTTGGAAAAAAAGAGTGCTTCTCTTCTACTTACAACAAAAGATAGTGCTAGCCATTTTGGCACTTTCTAAAATCTTGTGTGCAGGAAGTTAAACTGCAGAGACCATGTGATAGAACATTTTGGTGCTATACCTTGAAACTGGACAAGAGCCAGTGCCTAACATCTTTGTTCTGATGAAACAGAGCTATCTATTTCAACTGGTACAACACTCTGAGTTTCAGTTTTTAGAGCTATCAAAGTCTTAGTGATACATGAGAATGCAATGCTTACACTTGCGTCAAATTTTACATAAAACTCTTTGGTTGTTTATAATGTAGACCTAGTTGATTTGTGGTTTTCAACAATGACTTTCCATAACACAATCTGTTAAAGTTACCTGTCTAGAGCAACTGCTCAATAGATAAATCAGAGTATAAATCAATAAAAAAGTACTTAATTTCAACCACTCTAACATTTTGTCCATTTTACACAGCAAACTTGAAATATCCCTTTATTTGAGGTAACGTCTAGGATGCTGGGTTACATAAAATGCTGTCTGGTTACACTGTAATGCTAAGAGAACAGTCAGGGTAAGACCACAGCTATTAGGTCTCATCTTGTCTCCACAAGTAACATCTCCACCAATTTTCCTGCCTCCAGAAGTTAGTTAGAAGACTTTGCTGCACATTGGTTCTGGAGACTGTGGTTATATCTTTCATGGCTATCCATGAAAGATATAACCACAGCCGTGGTGTCTCCTCAGCTTGATGCAAGCTGTGGAGACACTACTGCTCTAGATAGCAACAGTGGTTTTCTTTGCTTTGCTTGGGAACCCGACCATCTTTATCAGTCTGGCACTCAGCCCCACGTTTTGATGAAAAATCTGTTACGGTCATGTTGCAAAGTAACCTTAGACAGAAGTATGTCCATTTCACAAAGATTGGTTTCATATTGCAACATCATAGTATTTTGCTTTGCCAGTACAGGGATAGTTACCAAAAAAATAAAAAAAATTAAAAATTATCCCAAAAACAAAGCAAATAAATTTTGGGTTGTGTTTTTCAGACTTTCAGTTTGTTTGCCGCCAAAGTTTGTTATTTAAAAACTCCTCTCCGTTCTCCGGGGATTTGAGTGGCACTCGGCGGAGCTGACTTTTGCTCTAAGGAAAACAAAAGCAGTGTAGTCAGTTTGTGTTGTGGGCAGAGAAAACATCATCTGTCCCACAATGCCAGGATCTAGAACACAATGAAGTCCCATATGAAGTTTTCCTCTAAATTCTTCCTCATACCCCATGCAAAAAGCATTGTTGTATCGTCTCACAAGGGGCAGATATTTAGAGTCAGACAACCAAGTGCCCTTCCCTCCAAAGTGCACTGGCAGCAAGCATGCTTGCAGTTTCGGCTTACTGACAAAGTTTCAGATGTTCCTCTTTAATACCAATTAGGTTACCAGAACAGACAGATTTTTATTTCTTGCTTGCGTTCATTTAAAATAATTTAGCATAGTCACATCAGACTCTACCTCTCATCTTTGTATGTCTGTTATGTTGTTGCGTCTGTGTAAACACTCAGATCTGCCTGTCTTTAGTTGGAAGAGCTCTTGGGTATTGTTTAGATTACCCTGTAATGAATCTGTTATTAGTGAAATGTAACCCTGGGTCTGAGCCTCCCAAAGCTACTAAAACTCAGAGTGTACCTTTGACATCTATATTTCAGTTGCTTTTTGCCGTCTTCATATATATTTTTTCCTTCCATATAATCATTACCATTTTGTGGTTGCCTCTCCCCAGATTGCTATTACCACCATTTTGGGAGGGGATGTGCAGGCATATTTGTGCTGACTTGGTGTTTTGCAAGGAAATGAAGTTTTTCAGGAGCCATGCCATGTGTTACAGAGACTTGCAAAAGTATTCAAATCTTTTGAATTTGGTCACATTTTGTAACTTTGCAACTAGAAACTTGTGAAAAATGTTGTGGAATAACAAATCTAAAAAAGTGTGGCATGCATTTGCATTTCCCTCTTTATTCTAGGCTTGTGCTGTATTTAGCTTTTTCCATCTTCCTATAATTCTGAGCAAATTCCCTCTTCTCTCTCCTTGAAGACAAGCCTCCTCACAGCATGACCTTGTCACCACCATGTTTCATATCGTCACGTTCTTATGTCATTTTGTACCAAAAGTGATGTTTGGAAAAACTTACCACCTTTTTTGTGTGAAGACAATTTAAGAAAAATAAAACAACAACTCACTTTTGGGGGTTGGGGGGAAAGACGCAGGCCATTATTTTAGGAAAGTGATAACCTTAGGGATGATTAGTTTTGTTAAGTGTTAGGTTTTTGCAGATAGTATTTTGCATGTAATCCAAAAAGTAAAACTTAGCATATGACTAAAGTACCTCTCTATAGATTTTAAAAGTCAAAATGATCATTTCCCTAGGATTAAGCATTAAAGACACTGAATGCATTCTCAGAATTTAGGCCACATGCTTTACTTTCAGCTTTACAGTAAAGTAAACAAGTTCCTTCTGTCTGGATTTTTGTATATTATTGGCAGACACAAGTCATTGCAATGCCAGAAGTGGTTGTAACTTTTTCCCCCCTCCTTCCACCATAGTTGAGCAAAAGGTTTGTCGCTGTATCCACAATGCTTTCTTAGGGCCAGCGAGAGTCAGCACTGCCAGAATGTATTGTGCAACCACTGTAATATGAGAGTCGGCGTAGTCGGGGGGAAGAGGAGAGAGGCAGGCGCAGGCGTGGGACGTCTGGTCCTGATCGACACACTCCACACACAGACGGTGTGCCAAACCGACAAAGTCCATTCCAGCACGCTAAACCAGATGTTGCTGTGTGATTCATGCCGAGGAACCGGAGCAGTGCAGCGAAGAGGCCGCGCTTCTAGGCATAGTGGTCGGGATGTTTACATAGCAACGGGAGTCCTGACTGTGTCTAATTACAGGTCTGCTCTGCCCCCATGGTGAGGCCTTTATCTTAACAGTACTGTCCAGGAGGAGGATTCATTCTGGCCCTCTGTGTTTAGTGCTCCTTTAACATTGCATTACCAACTTTAATTAACACAGTGTAGATGGAA